CCTGCCAAGTGCACCAGTCACGTGAAGTTGTCAAAGGGAGGGCAAAGCACTAATATTAAAAAGTCTTAAAATTCAAAACGTTTTGCGTCCATGAAAGCAGATTTTAGCGTACAAAACAATGTTGTGAATGTCTGTTGTTCGTACCTTAACATGGTGTTTCCATATATTGGAAAGGTCAAGTATCCACACAGGAGAACATACCAAACAACAACGTTTTAAATCAAGCGCCGAAAGATCGTAAACGGCAGAGATTGCGTTACATTTCACAGAACGACCGCTTACCACTGTTGTCGCTCCTTTTTTCGCTGGAAGCTACGAGGAGTTTTCATTCCGTCATGAGTGATTCTTGATCAGCGCTTCCTTGAAAGTACTACCCCGGACAGATGATAACTGAGGACGCCTGTTGTTCAGTTTCAGGATTTAGCAGGTGCGTAGTCAGGATTTTTCCGGAGGTACACCCAACTTTTTCTACATCGTCTCTCCCCCGGCCCCCCCCCCCACCCCAAATCTCAACATTTTTTAAGGTGCCTATATTAAAGGTGGGGTTAACGGTTGTAAGCAAAAGCATTTTTGCTGTTTATGAAATGACACAACCTCTAAAATTCTTTAATTCTGTCGGCTTGTTATGTTCATTGTCGTCAACCGTTTATCATTAATTCAGCTATTAAAAATCAAGCTTGTAGTACCTCCGACTTTAGTTTACAAATGACTCTTTTTACCCTTTTTTGTCACATTATTTTTGACCGACAAAAGCACTACACATTGACGTAATTGTGCCCTACTTCGTCTACTCCGAAGACAGGTCGTGGAGAAAACAACGCGTTCACGCTTTACATCATCAAGCTTGCTATATAAATAAAGCATCCAAGGTTCGGTTCTCCAATTAATGTCCTCGCTTCTCTGGAAACCGATTTTTTTAGTTATGTTTATTTCATCCTATTTTTTCTCCTCAACGTTTTCGGGTACGCACGTGCGAACCGTGCATACAAGTAGCTACGCCCCTGTTTAGTCTCCTTAGCCCTGAGCGTTCCTCTCTTCCGGTTTTCGTAGGAGTTCAGGATGTGGTCTACCCAGTATTTCACGTCTCTATTAAATGACAGGCAGCACTTAGTGTTTACCGTTTCGTTATCAGACAGTGCTTAGACTCTTAGCCTTTCATTTTATTTTGATCAAATTTTTATCATTTAGTTACCCAGTATACGTTCGATCCTGTCCTTGTGAACTTATACTTTTATACTTCAAGGGAGCTTAATACCTATATTAATTTTTTCTTCGTTTAGTGTTGTCCAACAGACCCAGTTTTTTGGCATTTTTTTTAAAAAGCAAGAAAAAAAGAAACGACAGGGTTTATTTTTTGGACTTAAATTAATTCTTTTAATCTAAGAAATGAGCATTATAACAGCATTTCCAGGCATAAAACGTTCGGTGGTGTATCCTTTTTGCTTTTTACCCTTTTTGGGCCTTTTTTTTTATGAAACTGACCATCACATTTTCCGCAACATTGAGTTTGTGTCGATTTGGTGACCATGTCTTGTTGTTTTCAGGCTCCACGGCAATGATGCTGGTGTTTCAGGCCTCCTGTTCTCAGATTTCTTGTGATTTTTTTCACCCCACCTACCGACCCACCCAAAGCCAGGAAACCTATTCAACGCTAAACGAACGAAAAGGGGATGACCTAGGCCTTATGGTTTCTTTTTGGGCTTCCCCACCACATTGCTTTTGCGTATTTCTGTATACTTGTCTTTTGCTTTGTTTTGTTCTTTTTTGTCGGTGAAGTAAACTGAAACTGTACAAAGACCCTCAATATTCCCTTTGGAGGCTCTCGAAAGCGCATAAAAAAAATGAAAAACGCGATGATTTATTGACCGCAAGGGCAATTGGGTGGGGTTAGGGCTCGTTACTGCGCTCCGGTTCACTCGTGCGCTATCAAATGGTCCCGATATACAAAATGAAAAATGACTGCGGACAGACTATTCACGTCTAGACATCAAGCATCTTTTAAGATGGGACTTATCGCCTCTCCCTGTTCATGGAGTTGATTCAAGGTGTTGACGTCAATTTCGCGATGCCCTGCATGTTGCCGGCACATGTTACAAAAGGGCCTTTCCACAGCTATGGAGTCCGCCGTCACCTTGTCAACCGTGCGACAAATGATGTACTTCACAAAAACAAAGAGAAGTTGTTTTCGATTTTCCCCGCCCCCTACCCCCGAAACTCCCCGACAGGACCGCTTCAAAGTACTCCCCACCCCCGGGCCCAAATGGCTGGACTTGTTCCTGTGGTTGCGTGGGGGATAGTAACAGGTCTAACTAATTGCACCGTGCATCAATGACAGTTTAGCTCAATCAGAAGCCCCTTTTCCGTGGCTAGGTCAAGGTGTGTGCACCTCCTTTAAGCTGTTTTTTTTTTTTCGGTTCTTACTGAAATTTTTGATCTTGAGGAAATTTACAACGACAGGAGCAGGTTATGGGCTTTTTTCCTACCCCTAATCCTACATCAC